TTCAAGTCAGAGAATGTTGCATATAATTAAATTTTTGCTTGATGCATAAAGTTAAAAGATTAAAACTGATAAAACAAGTAAAAAAAAGAGACTTTTCCATTTGATTACATTTTGTATGATGGATCATGTAGAAAAAGTAGAATTGGGCTGACAGATCTATCGCTTTATCACCTCTTCAGGTTGTAAATCGTGTTTTTAAAAAGTAACTAAGTAACTAAGTAATTAATTACTTTTGAAAATAAGTAATCAGTAAAGTAACAGGAGTACTTTTTTGGGGTAGTAATCAGTAATTAGTTACTGATTACTTTTTTCAAGTAACTTGACCAACACTGCTAGCTAATGATGGCTAATGTAGTAAACAAAACTGTAAAGTTAGCTGTCACTTAGGATTAGGATTTAACAAAATTGACCCTTTACTACTAGATACTTATCTATAGCAAACAACTATAACACTAAGTATGAAGCATTATTTTTAATCTGTGAGGGTCACCAAACATTAAAAAAATAGACTTATAGGCCTCAGTTCGCATTAATTTCTCACGGATTTCCTGTTGACCATTGCTCCCACCGACACCCATACGAGAAGCTTCTCCTGAAGGGAAAACTGAAGCAGCTGCACGGACAAAAGAAACTACACCTCTTAGGGGCTGCCTCAGAAATCTCATCTGTAGCTCCCATTAGATCTCCACTAGATCTAATCATCTTTTCTGAAGTGAGTGCTATGCGTTTTTAGTGACAGAAGCAACAGAATACTACAAATACCTTTCACCTGCAGATATCACCCAGGCATAAAAATAAGCTTTGTACTTGTCAATAAATCTGCTGCACTTGGTGTCCTGTAAGCTTCGATTGTTGATGCTCAAAAGGCATATTTCTGAATTGTAGCCTTTATGTTTAAAAACTCAGGTCTCTGCCAGGTCTCTCTTGGAAATTAGATTTTTAATCTCAATGACATTTTTTTTACCTGGAAAAATAAAGAACTAATAATAAACGGCTGTGTTAAGATTTCAAATTTTTAACGTCAAATTGGTGTCTGTAAGGCAACCACAACTCTATGATATTATCTATTTTGCATTTCATGTCATTTTTTGTGATATTTTGTTATTTAGGTCTACTAAAGCTCCCCATGACAGACATTGCAATGAGTGAAAGAGGAAAGGAAATACACAAAATACACTTAGCAGCAAAAGAACCCAGAGATGTCAGGTGCATTGCGAAAATGTCTTTCATTTTCAGTGTGAAAGGACATTATTAAAAGCTTGCTATATAAAGCTGTTAGCACTGGATTCAACATTTTTCGTTTACAGCTCAGGTCCTCATTGCCTACGTTTTTCTGAAGTGACACTATCACACCTATTATATCTTGTACTATTTTGAACCTCGCTGCTGAATGAAATCACCGCCGCTGATAAACAGCCTCCAGGACACTTACACGCTGTTCTTCTTCATATTCTGTGAATAGTCCGATATGGCTTTATCAGTTTCCCCTGGAGAAGTGCTCCGAATCAGCTCGACCAAATCAGCTCCGAAGTAAACAAGCCTTTGTTTGTATGTGTGCAATCAATATATAATCAAATTTACTTATCCATCCACTGAAAGGATTTGAGGTGACTGTGACCTCAGCATTCAAAAACACCCCTTGACCATTTAATGGTGAGCTAAAACGAGAGTGTTAATAGATTTAGCACGCTGCATTTAATTTCATAAGATTGCTTTGAATTCTGCATGTACCTATTAGGTTTTGCACTTTTGTGTTAATGACATATAGTCCTACACCTCTCATCACTGCAAATAAAATCATTTTGTAAATCATGCATTTATAGTTTGCCAAATCTAAATTGCTGAAATACACTGCTTTTACATAATGCTTTAAACCATTAATGATGTTAATGGTATATTTATCCCGTTAGCCCCGTTAAGCTTGCAACCATTATACTACAGATTTTTGTGAAATCCCTTTACACGATTTGTCACAGCTCATGCATTTTCATACCTTTTCAGAAATTACCACCATGACCAAATCATGTTGACAGTTTTGTTTCATTATGATTTCTGAAAACAAAAAAAACGGATCTACTTCCTGCAGCCTGCAAAACATTGTCACTTGTGTCCCTCGGTAAACTCGGATGACACTCTGTTGTCGAATTTGTTGCCTAGAGAGAGTTTCAGGCATAACTTACACACTCACAGGCCTGTCAGAACAGTCTGTTTCTCTATTCTCACCACAGCTGATCGATTAGCATTCCTTGCTGATCAGACAATTATTAATTCAGAGCTTCTCCCTGCAACACAGTAGACAAAAAAAGGGATCCTAGTTATGGTAAAACTATGGTCATAGTTCTGAGTTAGAGTTTGAATAACTTTTCCTATTTTTTTTTTTATGTCTTTTCAATTTTTCATTTCTGCAGAAAAACAACAACAACAACATCATGGCCACATTTTTAAGCAGTGTGAGTGAGAGCTGGCTTTAAAAAAAACAAAATCAAAATAAACCAAAAAAACAACACCTTGAATGTCTTTCTTTTTTTAGCAATAGTAGATGCAGTGGTGGAAGTAATTCACATGACATAAAGGGAAACTGTAACAGCAGTCAATAGCCAAGGTGAGCTGAAGAGAAGCTGCTGCATTCAGATGTGAGAACTTTCTTTGTGTTAGTCTCGTAAGTGTTGTTCTGTGAGTCGATAATGACATTGTAGGTCCCTGTTACGGAGCATGCTGCTGCCGTGTCATCTATTCCCCTGGGAAGCCTTATGCTCCCGTAGGATTTGATCTTCCGCTATATCAAGCAGGATTCTTTACAGCATGAGTTACTGGAGCTGCTGTGGAATGGAAAACTGTGCCATGACCCACTGATTGTATTTGGAGAAGACTTTTGTACTTTACCCTGTCAGCTCCTTCATTGTTGTTTGATTTTGAAAATTGGACTTTTGATTACAACATTGCAACTTTTAACTTCTCTCACTGAGCTGTTCCTTTTTTTCTTGTTTTATTTTTAATAAATGTCATTTTATTAGCAGAATGGTGGTTAGCACTTTTGCCTCACAGCAAGAAGGTCCTGAGTTCAACTCCACCATCTGTGTAGGGTTTGCATGTTCTCCCTAGGTACTCCGACTTCCTCCCACAGTCTAAAGACATGCAGTTAGTGGGGTTATGTTAATTGGTAAATCTAAATTGCCCATAGGTGTAAATGTGAGTGTGGTTGTCTATCTCTCTGTGTTAGCCCTGTGACAGACTGGTGACCTGTACAGGGTGTACCCCGACTCTCGCCCTATGGTAGCTGGAATAGGCTCAAGCCCCTGTTCCTGTGATTTATTTTCTGTCAGCTTACAAATTGATTAGTCATTGTGGGTCTGAATATATGTAGAGTAAGGCTTTCTGTCAGTGTTTTCTCAATGCAAAAAAACATTCTGAAAAAGTGCCATCACACACATGTACGCACACAAACTCGCACAGGCTTTGATCGTCATGCCATCCTGTGTTGTTTACATAGTCGAATGCTTTTACCCTCTAGCTGAGGGTTAGAAAGACTGAGTCTATAACTGATGGAGGCCCATGCCTGCCTGTACTGTTTGACATTTGTGCTGAGCCCAACACTTTACTCCACACAGGCTGTACAGGATGGTTGGGTGGGGTGAGGGGGTGGGGATGGGTCCTGCATTCACCCGTCACATTCTACACTGAGCTGGGAAAGTCAGAGACGAACGCCTGTCAGGGTGGAGATGTTGGACAGAGCTGTTAAGTGTACTCCTCCGAGGAATTTTCGGCTTGTGTGGAAATTGTAAACAAAGTAGGGTGAAAATCCAGGATAATGCACTAACACTGTTTGTATTGCAGCCAAAGTTGCTAATTTTGTCTCCTCTCTCGTTTTCTCTCTTGTCCTTCTGTCACTTCAGTCACAACCAGAGGACCACCACATTTCGACATCCTGTGACTGGACAGATTTCCCCAGAGAACATGGATTTTATCCTGCAGTGAGTAACTAATGC